GGGCTCGATCCCAGGACCCTGAGATCATGACCTGAGCTGAAGGCAGACGCTTAACGACTGAGCCACCCAGGTGCCCTGACTGATGTGTTTCAAAACTCAATACACTTTAATAAATTTAAAAAATGGCATTTTAATGGTTTGTAGTTTTTCTAGTGGTTACTTGGGTATCTTTGTATCTATAACAATTTTAATGTGGTAAGTTCTCTTTTTTTATTCAAACTTTTATTATGTGATATACTAGTTATATTCATATTCTTAACTTCCACTGTCGTCTATACAACAGCAGCTTAATTCATTTTTCTCTCTCCCTGTCCTGCTACTCCCTTGTCTTTTAGTTGGTTTATTACTACTTTGTCATCACAACATATTTATATATTATTAATCCGCAAATCTAATCCCTGTGTTTGATTGGGTTATATATTACACTAAATATATATCACTGTGCACACACACGTGTAGTCACCTACAGTATATACATAAACATATCCATATATCTCCAACATTTTGCTGCTCAGTATAACCTTTTGGGTGCAGAATTTCCTAATTTCTTCTACGCTGAAAACTGTTGTTCTAATACATTGTTACATGAAAGACAGCTTCATTAGATATAAAGTCTTAATGCTTGCTTTTATCAGTCTTTAAATGCTCTCTCTTCTGTTTTTGAATGTAACTTTTTGAAAATTCTGATTAATAGCCTAATTCTTTATCCTTTGTAAATTATTTGATTGCCTAAAAGCCTTGAGTAAGCTTTCTTTATCATTGAAATATAATATTTTAATAGCATATATCTTATAATTAATAATTTTAAATTAATATTCTGTTACCATTGGGACCTGTCAATGAGTATTTTTAGATCAAACAAAATAAAATAAACACCAAAATGCATCACAATTAAATATTTGAAAAGTAAAGGCAAAGAAAAAGTCTTGAAAATAAACAGGAGGCACAATAGATATCTAAAGAATAACAGCAATTTGAATGTCAGTTGCTTTGTCATCTGAATGGAGTAATAAAAAATGGCATAGTAGTTTTCAAATGGTGAAAGAGAAGAACTGTCATCCATGTATTTTACATCTTGGAAAACTATCTTTCAAGAATGAAGGGGAAATAAAAACATCCTTAGAAGGAAAAAAATGATTTGTCATTAGCAAACTGACATTTAAAGTTTGACTTGAAAAAGTTCTCTGAAAAGAAAAGAAATGCTAAAGGAAGGGATCTTGAAACATCAAGAAGGCACAATGAAATAAAACAAGAATATGTGTACCTATAATAGACTAAACTCTTCCTTGTGAGTTTTAGAAATCATATTTGGTGGTTGAAATAAAAATTATAACATTATAATCAAGGCAATAATATTAAAAGTGGACATGATAAGGGGATCTAAATCAAAGGAAATGCCCAACACTTCACTTGTGGCCATAAGTATTGATACTAGAACACTGTTATAAGTTGCATATTAATATTATAATACCCAGAGGAAGCATTATAAAAGCTACACAAACATATGCATATATTTGCACTCAAAAATACCATAAATAAATTAGGATCCTCAAATGTTCAAAAAACATAGAAAAGCAAGAAAAATAAACAGAATAACAAGAACTAGAAGAAACAAATAGAAAACAATAATAAAATGAAATACTTAAATGCTAGCATATCAGTAATTACATTGAATGTGCATGGTCTAAATATATCAGCCAAAAGAGACAGATATTGGAAATGTGGATTAAAAAATTCAACATGACTTCTCTTTATTCTGTTTATAAGAAACTCACTTCAAATTCATTGACATAGGTAGGCTGCAAGTAAAAGGATGGAAAAAGTTATGTCATGCAATTGTTAATAAACAAAAGCAGGAGGTGGCCATTTTAACACCAGATAAAATAGACCTCAGACCAAAGAAAATTACTAGAGACAAAGAGACATATTACATATGGTATAAGGATTAATAACAATTAAGAAGGAATAAC